TGGGACCCACTGCCGAACCCCTCGTTGCTGTATCACGCAGCACCAGAAACATAGGCGAAACAGAAGAGAAGGCTTCTTTGGGAATCTTGAATCTGTGAATTTTTGAGGCTGGTTCCCTAGCTCGTCGTCGGACTATGGGATGTGTACAAGAGCAATTAACTTCATTAACCATGTCTAACAAATTATACTGCAATTAGCTACAGTCCGCGCCAATAGGTGTTGCATGCATTTCGTCATCCTGCCGTGGTTGGCCGCGCGCGTTGAACTTCGGCCTTCAGATAATTATAGATCGAGTCCAGCTCGATGTGCCTGTTGATGCATGCCTCATCTGAGTGCATTGCCTCCTGGAATTCACGGCCTTTTCTGGTTGGGTAAGAGCCAACAATCCGTGTGTTCTCCCACGCGAATTTGTGACCAGTTTCTAATGTGTGCATGGCCACCCGGGATAAGCGGTCTCGTCTGTTGACCGTCAATTGATGTTCGTGTATGCGGGTTGAGGCACATTTCCCAGTTTGGCCACAATAAACTGCATCACAACTGGCACACGGGATCTTGTAGACAACATCTTTTCTTTCAAGAACTCTGTTCTTAGGGTGTACGAGCTGCGAGCGCAAGGTGGTTGCGGACTGGTGTGCCACTTGTATCTCAACAAGCTCAGATACATTTTTCACGTATGAGAGACTTCTCCAGTTTATTATTTTGGAAGCCTGGGTGGTATTATCATTTGAAATGCCTCTTTGTTTGGATTCCTGTCGTTTCATGCACTGACGCACGCAGTTACTTGGATATCCATTTTTGGAGAATAGTTGGAAGAGGTATTTCATCTCTGCTTGGTAATTTTCTTCATCAGAGTAGTGGGTTCTGGCTCGGTTTAGGAGGCTTTAGACAGTATTAATTTTGTGATAGATTGGGTGGTTGCTCCCGAAATGTAGGATGACCTCTGAATATGTTTCTTTACGGTAAACTGATATACGGAGTGATCACACCAAAATACTGATGGATATATATATATATATATATATATATATATAGTGGTACTCCGATATGTCTCT